TCTGTCCCTCGCCGACGTTAATTGCCGCGAAATCCCACGTTGCGCGATGATTTAGGAAAATTTTCGGAAAAATTTATGAGGAAACTGTTGTTTGGCCTCTAAAGTAAAATAAATAAACAGATACGGTACATGTATGGAGGTGTTCAAGGGTGCAATCGGAGAAAAATCGGATTTATTGCGCGTATTCATCAATAATTGACTTCGATCACGGAAGGCGCTAGTGAGATAACTATTCGACCACGGGTGATGTCCATATTGCCGCTAGCGTGATTGAAGGCGCTTTTCACCGCGATGACGGCTCGACCACGCTGCGCTCGCTGACGCAGCGGCGCTTAGGTACTTTCTTTGCAATTTTTGAAATTTTAAGTACCACTCGCGTTAATACTCTCACTTTTTTACAGTGCAAGACGAAATCCAATTTTCCCATGAAAAGCGAAGAGTGCTAAAAGCCGAGGTGTTCAAATGTATTTAATTCCTTACACTCTCAGCATCAATTCGGTATATTAAAGTTGAAACATTTTTTATCATTCTTCGTATGCCAATTGAGTTTTTTTATTTTATTTGTAAAGATCGACACCTGCACGTCGCTTTCACCGTTTGTACTGTCTAGTAATTCTGATGCAAGAACCCACCATCGCGTAGAGTTGTAATTGAAAAGCATGAAAAACTTACCCATGGATTCCTATTCACTTGATGTTTGCGGAACGCTGTGAGGATAATGTTACAGAAGCTACCGCTCCTTGAAGTGTACTGAACATTTTTTGGAAGGACCCCCCCCCAAATAAATTAATTTACCACCCTTTGAAACTTGTCACCGGAGGATGCAGCCCCTTCAGCCCAGGGTGGAAAAATTTAATGAAAAATAAAATCTTGAAATTTGTCATGAAATTTCAAAAATGTATGAAAGATACTGAAAAATACCGGTTCCTTTTCATGTTTCGCAAAATGTAAAAATTGTGATTTTCCTCTCGTTTTGTATGTTTGAGTGCGGGTTGCATACTGTAGCCCCTGAAAAATACGGAATATTTAACAGCCTCGTGAAATTTCATGAAATATTTCGATGAAATTTCCAATCTTTCATTTCTTCCTTGCGTTCCATGCCACTCTGCCTCAGCCCCCCCCCCCTCCCGCAGTGACCTATAAATAGAAGGATGAATGTAAACTAGTATTTCGATAGAATGCAATAAACCTCGGAAGAAGCAGGTTGTAACGAATTAAAATTATAAAAAAAAACGTAAGCTAACAACATTACTGCTGCAGTTAACTCTCGCGCCTCCCGCCGTGAATAAATTTCGAATGAACGCCCGGCTGAGCTGTCGTGGAAGTTGAGCCAGCAACAGGTGAAGCATAAAGTCCGGGTTCCCTCATCTCATCTTTATCCCTGAACATGCTGTGCGAGGAATTATGTTCGATTCGGTATTGCCAAGTTGCTCAGGAATTTGGTGCGCTTGCCTTTCGGGAACGAACTGGGGATATTTCCACGCAATTGCGCTCCTTCTTATACTTCAGATTTCTTCCGCAGTTAATACGGTCTTAAAACGCTCCTTTATAACATCAATTTCAATCGAATAACCTCTAAATTAAATCGTGATGTCCGCCTCGCTCTCCCTTAAAAATTGTCTTAACGTGTTTTTAAGCCCCGGAGGATCCACATGGGCGGCGAAACTTTCGAGATATTATTGCAACCGTTCCTTATTTGGACCGCGTTAAGCAGAATGGAACCAAGCCACATCAGCTATTGTCAAATTTACCTGGGCAATTTAATTTTTTACATCAAAATAGTTGTGTGGATTTTGGTGTAAATTTCAGCGAATTTGCTACACACTGCGAAGTTAATTCCTCGAAATTTTCAAAGGAATCCGCACAAATGTTCTCTTGTAAAAAAAATTGTATTCCTTGGTTAAATTTGGCGATAGCTGATGTGACTTGGTTCCTTTCTGCTAAACGCGGTCCATTTCTGGTAGGTGATAACAGGAAAACTTGTTGATGCTAACATTTTTGTTTCCCAGCTTCGACTGAAAAAAGTGGTGCTTTCAATCTGCTGGAGCAAGGTCTCGTGAACGGTTGGGGTTCATTGCTTGGTTTTCTAAATTTTCATCCATTTATTTACCTCCTGTGTGATTTTCTTTCTTCATAATATTATTCTCTTTTTTTTCAACTTCGTTTTGGATGAAAACCATCGATGTTGACGCAAATATTTCGATACGCTTGGGTAGGAAAAGTAGATCGGAGTGAGACTTACATACGAGTCGCTGTTATAGCGCTCTTTGGCGCTTTGCGACACCTAATCGCCACAAAGCTCGGGTTGAAAGACCTAACGGAGACCTAAAGACCTAACGGAGTGAGACTTCATTATCTTTGAACGTTCTGGAAACTAACTAAAATATTTCCATAGTTTTCCCCTCATAGAATCGTTTTTCTCTCCAACTTTTTAACGTTTTAAAATTTCACCAATATGCCTATCAACTTCGGCAAGAAAGTAGGTGAAAATTCTGCGGGAAACCTCGAACATTTATCCATTCGAAGAATTAGAACTAACCACGCTTCATCCTTCTATCTACGCGTAGTGTAGACCTATACCTTTAAAATCGTTCATCTAAAATTCGCCTTCAATTTACTTGGATATCGACGGTGAAACTACCAAACCACGTATCTCGGTTTGCGACGTCGCAGACTTCCTGTCATACTTTATTTTTTAAATGAATAACTACTTAACATCCAGTCTTGAAAATTTCTGTGATTTTTCCTCTTTGTGCGGAGAAAATTCCGTGAAAATTTCAAGGAATGATATTGATTTGGTCTACTTCAAAAAAATAAAATGTGAGCGTAGATTTTTAAACACCGCAAACGAGATACGTGGTTTGGTAGTTTCATCGTCGATATGCAACCATCCTTCTAAGGAGCGCGAATAGTTATATATTCGGACGGGACACATTTCGATGGCCGAACTAATGAGCCAAATACCTTTATTTGTGACGTTGAAGACTACTGAATTGGCTATTGAAATAATTTGAAAAACCAATTGGCGTAGTTTCTTGACAACTCCCCTTTTTCTATTAATAGAATATCATGCATGCATTTCAAGCTATACCTAAACTAGATTTGTTTCTCGTCGAAAAAAATAAAATAAGAACGGAAATTTTGACACATCATAGCAACAAACATCTTTCCACAATCAGCTGCAAAATGAAATGAGGTAAAACAACTAAAACACCATTTGATCTATCAAATTACTTGAAAGTCTGAACTTTGTCAGTTCACAAAGTTTAAATAAGACTTAGTGTGAATTGTTATTCCATAATTCTTTTCAATTTTACATGTTTCCTGCAACGCTGTAATGAGAGCCTCATTTTTCGTTTTGAAACATTTCGTATCTTGAAACGAAATACTCTTTAAAAGTCTCTTGTTATGACCCTCGGTACCAGGGGTGCGATGGGAGGGGTGGGAGGATTTAGTTAAATTTCTTGTCTCATCAAGATTTTCGCCGCGACAAAGCGTTGCCGAATAGGATTGTCCTGGTGCAATCCCTTTTGATTATGCCCTCACAGCGGTAATGAATTTTCTACTCTAAGAAATGGACATGGTGGAACTCTCTATTCTGGATCTCCAAGTGTGCTTATCGAATCATCACATAACGCAAAAATAGGTTGGAGAACAAGTTGGAATTACATTACTTATAACTGTGGAATACTATACACAGGTAAAAAAACCTCTCGGACCAATGCCGCATTGCATTGACTTAAGAGTGCAGTTTCTTGTCGCCGGATTTAAGAGTCTTGAACTCTTGTTTCAAGCGGATTTTGCATTGATTCAAGCGGATTTTGCATTGAAACAAGAGTTCAGACTCTTAAATCCGGCGACAAGAAACTGCACTCTTGAACCAAGAGGTTTTTTTTTTACCAGTGATAGCGGGGAAATCTGTCATCAATTTTACAGAAAATTTTACTCGCGTCCAGATCTAAATTATCTGAAAATTTCAAGAGAAATTATTCATATTTTTTTTTAAAAGTAATAATTTTCTCGGAGGAAATTGGGCAAATCACACTCCGCGAGAGAAGCCAAGGCGAGGGTGAACAATTTCACGTTTCAGGATTCTCCGAAGTGGTCTTGGACCCTCAAAAGAAATCAAAATCTTGTCTAATGCTTAAGCTTTTGAATGGCCCTCTTATTTCCGACTGAATATCTACCAGGATCAAAAACCACTTCAAAGAGGGCGAGGGGAGACTTATTTTTCACTCTACGCACTTGTACGGCAATTCTGCAGATAATACTTTTACGTACTCAAATGGAAAGTTCACGAGAAAATCCATGCTCATTATATTAATGGAGGTGCTTAGACTAGCCGCATGAGTTTTTTGTGAAAAATTAAGGTACTAATAATTTCAAGTAAAACTAGTGATGATAAAAAAATTTGAAAAATTCGCTCCAAAATTCCAATTTTTACATGTGGTATTTTTATGTCTTATTACTCCAATTTGATGGATGAAATGGGCATTTCTGATTAATTGTGGTAGAACCACAACTTGAGTTGGGTAGCATTGTAACATTCGGGCGCCATCAACTTAATTTATTGGGGTGCTACCATACAGTTGACTGGGGGTACCACCAAAATTAATCGGAAAGTCCCATACCATCCAACAACCCCTACCTCTTTTTCCCCGTGTTAATTATCGAAGCGGGCTCTCAATTTTCAACTATCATATGATTTTCGTCTCATTTACAGTGTATTGAAAAACACCATCACCCGGGTTCTTTCCTTCCGAAATATGAGGTGGGTTTCCTTTGCCTTTAATACAGAGCATACCTCTCTCAAATACCATGCGAAATTTTTTTTTTGCGCTAGGAGGGCATGGGCATACCAACCGTCCGTGTGTGCACGTTCAGGTGTATCTGTGTGACCCTAGTGGAGAGCATCTCCAAGTATAAAGTTCTGAAAGAACAGCTGTCTCGATGACATAAGAATGAGCTTTAACTACATAATGGGTATTTTTTTATTACAGGTCGTAGAAATGAACCCTCCTGGATTGATAAGTTGGGTGGTTTTCCTGGCGTGCAGTCTCTCCGTACTAGATTCAGCACCAGCTCCAGGCCCAGAACCTGCATTCACACTTCCGATGCCAGGTAACTAATCTTATAACTTAATAAGTACATAACACGATAGGTAAACTCAGGGCCGTCGCAGGGGTAAATTATCACCCACGCAAACAGCAAATTTAATCCCCCCCCCCTCGCTCCGATTAGTGCGTGAATGTTTACCCTCTCCTTCCTCCCTGTGCTAGGTCTCCAGAACGTTCTTGATTTACACAAAATTTTAATCAAAATCGAGGAAACAAATTCCATGAGTGGGTGCCTCCTACCTCTCAACCTTTCAACCTTTCCTTTCATTTTAAAAAGAACTTGGGCGAAGCTGATCTCACGGCTTGTGATCAGTTGAACCTCGTCGCTCTTTTCCCAGAATTCAAAAATGCCAATGAACATACTGAAGGAATCGTGATAATGTATTAACTATTAGGCAAGAAAGTTTTTGATATCATTACGTTTCTGACTGATTACTATTGTAATAATTCCCATGAAGATGCTTTGCTAGATAGGGAAGGGGAGATCCCGAGGAACTTTGGAGTCCCTAGAGTTGGCGATGTGTGTCCCTCGCGATCATTTTTGCCAGATAGTGCTGAAAATTCAGCGCTTTGCTCCATCTAAACTCTAGTAAATGTCCAAATTTTATCACACATCCTTGCAATTTTGCTTGCGACGGGCCTGGGTTCTTGCGGTCAATCATGCAAGCGCAAAGGTATAAAACAGAAAAAAACAAAAAAATAGAATTAAATAAAATTAAAGGGAAACTAATTGAACTGAAAAGAAAACAAACCAATTTAAACAAAATGAAAGATGTTTAAGCCTTCGTCTTCTCTCTTTCCTTCCCAATATTTCAAAGAATTGTATTTTTATGGAGATAGATTTGAAATCGGAGGGTTATAGTGTTAACCCTGGTAAAAATTGGCGATAGGAACTGCGTTTCAAAATACCATAGGAGTTCTTATAGCCAACTGAAGAAGGCGTTAGAAAATCATATAGCTGGCTGTAGAAAGTGGAAAAAATCTTACGGCCGGGCTACACGAAGCGATGAAAAATTATACAGCCGGGCTATGGTTCCTATCGCCGGGCTTTACACTTTATCGCCTGGCAGTTGCTTTTTCGCCATCGGCTATAAAAGGCTATAAGAAATTGTGTAGGAATACGTGTGCTTTGTAAATCTTTAAGTTTGTACGGAATTACCTTAATATTTACAAAACTCACATTATATTTTCCTTTACTACATATTTTTTTTCATCAATTAAAATGAGATTAATCCATATAGAGTATGCAAACATTTCAAAGTCATGAGTTGAAAAACGCCGACTGCACGGGATTAAATATTAGAGCCTAACACAAAGCGGTGCGGCGGTGCACTGGCGCCTACAAACCTAACAGGGATACTTCACGCATTGCACAATGCGTGAAGTATCCTTGTTAGGTTTGTAGGCGCCAATGCGCTTTCCGCACTCTCTGCCCGCCCGCCGCGCCGCAGCGTACCACGGCGTCTGAAGCAACTATTTCACACCAGAGGTATTGCTCAATATCATACGAAATTGAAGGCGCTCCAACATATTGGGAATGGCAGGCATCCTTCAAAAGTACGGAGCTTTCCTCGCAAAATAAATCAAGATACTATGGCCCAAAAAGAGAGCGGTAGTCCAAAAACTCACTAAGTCCTAGCATCCGTAATTAGTAGCGTTTAGCATACACTTTATCGCCGGGCTGTTGCTTAATCGCCATCGGCTATAAAAGGCTATAAGAAATTGTGTTGCTGGCTATAGAAGCTATTGGAAATCTTACAGCCGGCTGTGGGTCTATGGTATTTTGGAACACATATTCTACTGCAAATTTTTACCAGGGAAGAAAAGTCAATTGGATATAGGATCTTCTACACATTCCAAAACTACAGTAGCCGTTAAATTTGGTCTTGGTCAAATCTGGTGCATAAATACCTGACAAATTACAATGTTGTATGACATTTTGTAATGATATTCGAAAATTTAGAAATTATCGATCGAGTAACGAATCGTTCCGTCTCCAAAACGCTAAAGATCCATCTTTAGTACACCGACGGATCCAGCAAACTGGCAACATTGTTTTTTCCATTTAAACATTTGGAAATGTATCGATTCTTTGAGGAGCCAGGTGCTCCAACAAAAAAACGATTATTTAACGTAGGTTTGAATGGAGAAAATCCGGTGTTACCAAATTGCTGGATCCGCCTCTGCTTTAGTGTCCGCATTTCGATTTTTGGTGCCACCTGCAAAAGTATTAACTTTATTGTAAATATTCTCTCTCGTGCCCGCTAACATTAATTTATTTGTGGTGTGAAACAGGGGCCGAAGAAATAGCACTAGCCGCTAAACCTCTTCAACTAGACAACGAAGAGGACGTGGATAAACTAATTAACTACCTGACTGACCTGCTCAGTGACAATATCCCGTTCGACTCGGGGAATCCTCTATTTTTCATGGAGATCCCCGAGCCTATACCACCTGAGGAAAGTCATCTACAAGCAAATCCTTGGAAAAGGTCTCGTTACTACAGGAGGTATCCTTGGAAACGTCAAAATGGAAGGGACGGCTACGACTCAGAAATGTACTTATGCACTCCATCCAGAGAGGATGTGTTCCACTTGCTAGTGGCGTTACATGACGTCAAGGGTGGAAACCATAAACCACTCACATTCTGTAACCGGAAACGACCTGCTAAGACTGTCTTTACTAATATTAGATTCCTAGGTCGCAAGTAAATTAAATTAATTAACTCATGTGTTTACTCATTTGTCCCTCCCGATTTTTTTTAAACTTCTGTACAATTTTTCAGGTTTTATTTCCCTTCTTTCGCCGACGTTTATAAACGATAGTTTCTTATTTTCTTTCCTTACCTGTGTCGCAGGATATTCGCATACGTGGGTATTATAACATCGGCTTGCAAAGTGCCTACGCAGTCAGTGATGATCTATTATCTATATGCTATGCGATATAACTATGGTAAAAATAAAAAGAGGCATAAATTGTTCCGATTGCAATTTTTCCAGGCATTTTATAAGCCGATTATACGGACTAACTAATTAGCCTAAGTATGCTAATAGCCTACAATACATACAGGTATACGTAATTAATAACTGGGCGTATTTTTGCTAAAAGAAACTGTGTGCATTTGATTTGCGTACAACATAGTTTCTTTTAGCATAAGTAAATACGCCCAACTGTAGGTAATTCATCCAATTACGAACCAGACATTCATCATACCTAATTTACGCTCACGTTTGATTTCAACTGTTTCCCTTTTCGACAATGATGACTTAAAATTGGAATTTTATATTGACTTTAAATAATCAATGAAAAAATTAATATATTCTCTAATAGAAGGGCTCCAAACATTAAATAAAAACAACATTCAAAAGTAGTCAATTAACGCTAAAATTATTTCGTTTGTTTTTACTTTACTGTCAAGATTACTTCTGTTATTCTAATTTTTCCCACCTGAGAGAACGATGAATCTAAACATGTGTGATTTTGACAACATGCAGGTAGTTATTCTTGTGAATATACTGTTTTCTTCTTACTGGTTGAATTTCATGTGTCACATTAAATATTTCAAGCATTAGTTTTCTTTTTCATTTTGCAAAATTAATGATGAAGATACATTGTAAATCGAATTTATTTAAAGACAATTATTAAGTTTTTAGGATCTTTTTGATTTGAATATTTATTGAATCTTTTATGAGTGCATCCAAAAGAGAGGGGAGGAGCCTTTATGTAAAAAGTCTTCTCAGAGGCCCACTTTCAATTCATCCCTTAAAAAAGAAGGTCAAATTGAAAATGACGGACTCAAAGTGGGAGTCTTTTGGTTAAAATGATTTTATCTCAACCCGGAAGCCACCCCCAAACTCAGCTTCAACACTCACTCATAAACTGAACGATGCAGCTTAAACAAATATTCAGTCAAGGCCGCATCAAAGGCGTAAGCTTAGGCCTTTAGGCAAGTGAAAAATGTTTACGTCAAGACAGATTACGTGGAATTTCTTCTGTAAGCCTTCTTCATCTTTTATTTGATTTCCTTTTTCGTCCTCTACACTCTTGTTTGTATATTTATTTTTTTCTGAAATCGAAGGCTCCATGCAGAATAAAACGATCGTAATCTTCCGAATAATTTTAAGAAAGTAAGGCTCCTTATTACATTCAAAATTAATTCTGTGGAAAAATGGAATTGAACGACGAATTTCGCAGTTAAGACTGATTGTCGATCCTCCAAAGTAGCATTTTACAAATGCTTGGAATGATATTTCCATGAAATTGAAATTCTGAATCAGCGTCTTGCCAGTCTGTCACTATGATCGGATGATATGTCACGATGATGATGTTCGTGCCCAGAACAGAGATGATACGAATAGTACGCAACTACTTCAGAAGTAGCAATTTCACCTCTAGAAACCACCTTAAATTGGGAGGATAGGCAACACATGAGCGCGACTAAGAATCGCGATCATAAAGCAACATCATTGAAATTTATTCATATATATTAACTACCATCAATACAATTGCAATCATTTGACGGTTCAAATTTATAGCAATCACTGTTCCTTGGGCCTCTTTTACGTTACAAACAATTAAGCACTAGTTTAAAGACTTGTTTTATGATTTATGTTAATTTTGAATTAAATAATTTATTTGTTAACATCACTTTTCTACATCGAGTAAAAATTTGAACGAAAAATTCGAGCACATGCTTGCTTTTAAGCTCTTCCCATTTCTTCCTTTCCTTCTGCCTGATGAATATTTTTGATGTAGTTTCGACGAGAGATGTCATACCATTTTGAACCAAATTGAATTTTCTTTGAAAAATCTTTTCAGTTTACATCAAAGCTGGCATGGCTGCTTTGCCGTTCAATGGACCTCAAATTACGACATCTTATCTGTTTTTTTCATGAGGACGTTTTATTTTCTTACTGCTTCATGCAATGCTTCATTTACTTTAAGATAGAGGGATTAAAACATATCATGCATTGTTTATATGCTTATGTGTTTTAGAACATTTTTTTCTTTAAATTCTGGGGCTACTTACACGGTTTTTTCTGAACATAGTGCGTGGTCGTTTTTTTTTTTTTTTTGTCTTTCCTGTGTGTAAACTTTTTTCTAATTTGTGAAATGCATAATTTATTATCCTTTCTTGCTGCAGTTTGTATTTTTTACGTCATCATTTTCATAGATGAGTATTCTCCATCACACTGGGAGTAGATCCGTTGTCCATTATGCGTGAATCCACGAAATGGTATTTCTGAACGGAATAAAGAGTCAGTACACATGAAGTTGCAATGTAACGTAATACATTTTCAGGAGTCTCAAGTCGTAGAGACCAAACAAAACATCTCAATATTGAAAAATGCCATCACTAAAGATTAAACCAAAGACTACATAGTTTTTGTAAATTCTAGACAGTATCCCTTCTCGATATTTTAATTTTTTCGCCAAATTCTTCATTTTGAAGTCTGCGAAATCGAGCAACCCTGCCAGGGGACGAAAGTGTCTCCATAGCACGAAACTTCAACCTGAAGTTGCATCTTATGCAAGGAAATAGCATTTTGAAAATTGAACTCAGTTCTGATTAGGGCTGGGGGAGGAAGAATTTTAGTTGATATGTGCCGTCATGGCATCGTCCATCATGCAATGCCTCAAAACCCCACAAAATGCGATTAGGTCTCGAAATACGCCAATAACCTATTTTGATTTTCAATTAAAGGGCAACTAGAAGTATCCTACTTTCGCTTCCAACTTGATTTATTGATGTACAATCAAAGTTCAATTAACTTGCACCCAGGAGCACCGTGACGGCAATGATTGAAGCAATGTTGTCGCATCATGCTTGTCGACACGTGTTGGTTTGGAAAATAGTACGGAACAGTCGGTAGTCTTGCTGTATGTTCTCAGCACAGCATTAAAATATGTCCTCCCTATCTTTTTCAGTGAAGTTTTGATCGAAAAATCAAAATCCTCCCTCCACATTGGCTTTTTCTGGGAAAATTCGATTTCCAAGAAAATTGGTGTATGATATGGAGAAAAAAAATTAGTATGTATACCTGTAGTGTCTCGCGAAGGAGAAGATAGGAAAGATTCCTTTTTGGGAAATGATGATATATCCGTTAAAATTAGAGATTGAGAACACGAGGTATAAAGGTATAGTTGTAATTTTTTTTGACGGACTACGGTTTTATAAACCGTATTTGACTTCAGACTTCATTCCCGCTACGGGAAAAATATAATTATTATTTGCAGGCGTTTTAAGTATTTTTGTACGCCCTTTGACAAGGATCTGCTAAAAATTGCATTCAAAAGGATTCATATTTCAGCATGTGCTTTCTTCCATAGTGACTGGGAGTGAATATTTATTAGATTGTAGTAAAAACGAATAAATGAGTGCGTTTAAAACAAGAGCATTCTGTCATTCTGTCAACTTTTTGTTCTTTCTTGCGATGAACCAAAGACAAGAGTTAAAAATACTCGACTTAAAAGAACAGAACCAATTAGACTACAATTTGCAATCATGAACTACAATTTCCGGCTCAATTAAAAATCAACGTATGAACCATCGATTTCACAATGAAAATAGTTGCTTTTACCAATAAGCCAAATATTGTATTTCCTTATAGCAAAATTCTGCCCAATCGTAAGATAATTAAACTTGGACTTGGTAAAATCATGGAAGAGTGTTCAGGAAAGGGTTCGAGTCGATACGTATACTAAGTGTGAAAGAAGTGCGGGCATTGCTACCGGAAGCCATATTTCTCAGACGAGACGATTTGTTGAGAAAAGGGGATTGCTCCCTTGACAGTTTTTCTTTTTTGTTGTTGTTTTGTTTTGTTCTTGTAGCGGGTGCGTGGTGCGGCGTCAGGATGTGAAGTTTTTCATTTAGAAGAAGTCCACAAATCGATTAGTCATGAAGTGATTGATGATACTGGAGCCAGCGTGTGCTTTTGTAATTACTTACACCATCCCTGCTTGGATGCCAATTTTTAACGGTAATGAAATAAACGTGATTTAATACCAATTAAAGGCAGTTATTCACGGAATAACAATATGGAGAAGGAATAAAATAAAAAAGTAATGAAATACAAAAATAACGAGATAACAAAAGAAGAAAGACGAATGAGATGGAGCACCACCAGAGGTTTTTCAGAAAAATCTGAAGATCGCCATTAAACATTCTCAGCTCTCCCTTATAAAATCTTGATATCAGGCTTGTATATTTCACATACAAAACAAATTGTAAAACGAACACTGTTAAAAGTAACACCTGACCAGACCAATTCTTGCAATGGCTTGTGAAGGCGCTGGATTTTGAGGAATACTAACGAAAATGAGCGCGACGCATAATCAGCGTACATTAGTGTGAAGCAACTATTCGACCATCAGAGTGTGGCACAGTATCATTTGAAATTGAAGGCGAATTAAATGCACCAACTCGCCGGGCCAATCGACCAGTAGGCAAGGTGCGAATTTGAGCGTTCTAATTCATGTTTCCAAATCAAAATTGCGAGTGGAACTCGTACGATTCACGCAAAGAAAATTACTGAACGTAACTCCTGACCGAGATATTAACGTTTTTCGATGTATAATTCTCACTCAAAGAAAAGCCATAGTATACCCGAGTTGAATTTCACACTAAACGTTTCCGTAACAAAAAATATGGCTTTCTCAATCTCGGCACTTTGGCGCAGCTGTTGCGTTGTTCACACTTGGAATAACGCAGGAAAGGGCAATAAACTCTGCGGGCGA